CCTATTCTACTGCCATTCATCAAAATCAACCGGTAAAAAGTGTTGAATACAGAAATAACAGTTTTTTATTTCACATGAAAATTTTTTATTGAAAAGAAAATAATTAAAAAAAAAAATTGGCAAGAAAATAACTCATGATATATTGATATCACAGTATGATGAAATTCAAAATTTTTTATTCAGCTTTTAATAAAAATATAAGCAGGAAAATTTAGTTTAAGAATATCTTAAGAAATGTCAAATGTACGTCTAGTTGTAATAAGTTGAAAAACCTTTTAAGACTTTTTTTAAACTTTTTGAATTTTAACATACATCTAATTTCACTTGCCTCATTAACGTCCAAAACGGTACTAGTTATATTCAATTCTCTCACACATTTTCCATGTCAATGGCTTTGTGACCTAGAATTTTATTAACTATTCCATTTATTGCACTCTCAATTAAAAGATAATCAAACTTGACTTCTCTTTAGATCAAACGAGTAAATATTTGAAATTAAAATCAAAATAATTGAGTAGTAAATGTTTAAAAAACTCCGGTTATTGACATGAAAGTTTTTTAACGTTTACGTAAATATCAGTTTTCACTCTATGAAGCCATATGTAGGTATATCTTATGTCGAACATTGATTTAAAACCCCTTATACACTTGGTCGATGAAACAAGTGGAAATAATACATTGGAACGTTTTTCAATTTTTCTTTCTTGCAATGTTCTTAACTTGTCTCTCAAAGCCTTCGTAGATTCAATTTTTCGATATTTTCTATTTCCTTTAAATCCGATTTATTTCAATATTGCATCTATATTCCTTCATTTTTAAACATAACATTTCAATTAAGTGTTGAGCAATAAATGAATGTTTTTTAATATTCAACAGAAATACGGTTACAATCAAATCATTTAAATTCATGTAATGATTTTCTGTTATGATTATTATTCAGCTGTCAAAATTTATTGTATTAATAATGGTTTTAATGTCACTATTTGTCTCTTTTAACATTGAATATTGCCAAAGGAAGTGTTGATGTCTAGAGCTTTTTTTTAAAAAAAAAAAATAATGTTAATAATAACTAGACTAATTTTTGTTGTTATCAATGTATTAAATGTGTTAAATGATAACATAAACTACAATTATTGGTTTAATATTGAGAAAGTTTTGAAAAATTAGTGATGTTATAAGTTTTGGTGACGATGATATTATTGTTATCTCCAGATACTTCCAACTGATAGTCTTAATGATGCTGATAAAATGTTATTTATGTTGTCACTATGTTTTTCACTTACTTAACAAAGTAATAATTCAAAATTAATATTCCAGATAAAATATTAAATAATGAATTTAAAAAATATATTAAGTGGTAATGTTTATTTTAAGTCAGACATAATTTTTATTTTCTTAAAATTATTTTTAATAAAAAGTCTAATGTTACTTAAGATTCATTACTGTAATTAATGTTATTAAAAAAATTTGAACTTGAATGCACTCGAGTTTGTATTTTTTTTTTAACTATTGACAGTAAACGAAAAGATGTTTATTACTCCAAGTATTTTATCACTGATGGATTTTCACTATGAAAAATTTAGTCACTAGATTTATTTGCTCAGATAATGTGAATTTTATTATTCCTTAACAGTGTTGGAAAATGGATCATCAATAATTCACAGTGACATGTACATCAAAAAAGTATTGGTTTGATTTTTATAATCATTGACATTCCTTAATTGGATTTTTTTTCATTTTAATTATAACCATTAATATTATCGTAGAGCTTGTAATTAACTTCAATAATTAATTTGAAATGATGCACATCTGTGTTTGAATTCTTTGTAAAAAAAATTTAATTTAACTTAAAGCTTCAAATTCGCTCATTACCTAGTATTTTCACATTCAAAAAAGTCTCTATATCAAGTGACTGCTTGATTTCGTAGGATTATCTAGTGGATTGAAAAAAAATCTGAAGATGATAAAATATGATACGAAATGTGTTAGAGAGTATAGACATATATGTATATATACTTATATAATTCCATCTTTTATTTTTCGAGTTTCTTCCTCACCCACATATAGAGCTATCAGTGCGAGTAGGGAATCAACTCTCATGTACGCAAAACGGACGGGAAGTGTATGTGAAGGTAATATCGGAACCTCCAAATGGTAATCGATATCTCATATATCTCTGAATGCATATTCGGGCGTTCCCGTGGCTCTTGCAGTAGTCCAAGTGCGGGAGTGAGAGAACAGGAGGCGGGAAATGACTGGAGATAAAGCTCGAGTACAGTTCCATGAAGTTTACGACACCTAGTGCCACAAATTTTCATTGATACAATTCGAAAGCGACCACGTCGTCGATTATTTGAGAGTATCCGGGTGTTTTCCAAAGGGTTGGACGACTGTTAGAGGATGTAGGAAGAGTAGACTAAACTTTGTCGCTCGTAATTGTCCCAACAACCTGGCAAACTATTCTCCGAGACATCCGAGGGCTTACCAAAAGGGGTCGAACCCGCATCTCCCCTCCAAGAGTATCGAATACCGAGCCACCGAGGCTTTGACATTACTTAAATGTCAGAGAATGTCGCGCATCTCATAATCTATAAGCAAGCACTTTGGTGGTCTACATGCCAACATGTTCACTCACTCTTTACAAACATGTCTTGCCAAAAAAATTTTATCTTAAGTTTCTATTTTTTTTTCATCTATTCTTTGATCCAATTTTAATTAAAAAATTTTTATTGTTGGAGTTTTTTTCAAATATTTAAGTGACTATTATGTATGCAATATTGATTGCTGAAGCAAACATGTTTTATTTCCATAAGCTATGGGCTGCAAGTATTCGTAGAGTCTACATGATAACATGCGTTAATCTCTCTACTCTATAAAGCGTTTTTCAAGAAAATATGAAATCAACAGACTGACTAGAAATTTTCTAAATTACTTCAATCTTCTTTTCAAAACTATTTTAACAAAAAAAGAAGTTCTTATAAGATGATTTGAAAATGGAAAATTTTTACAAAATAAAAAGAAATAAAGACTTCATTATAAGCCTTAAGCTCCCCAAGTAGTCTAAATAATTTTGATCACGACTGTACTGGTAATGGGGTGCTGTAACTCCAGCATTCCAAGTATATTCTCAAGAATATTCCAAGACAAAGTAAAATATATTTATCAGAGAAAATAAAACAAGCAAAGAATATGTAAAAAATTTGAAAAAAAAATTCCCGTGATCATGAAGGGAAAAATACACCTGGAGTTTCTCCAAGAAGTCATAGAGAGTGCCAAGAGGGACATTAACGACGTGTACATTAACCGTTCTAGAAAACAAGTAAGCCCAGCCAGCAGTAAATTGAATGTCAAACGCAAGCAACACAAGGATTGCACTCATGCGAAAAAAAGAAAAAAGATTGACAGTAAAAAGAAAGAAAAAAAAAAGAAAATCTTATGCTCGGTTTCACTAAACATATAGTCTTTTGAGCTTAGTATTTTTTTTATATATTTTTTACAACAAAAAAGTGTCGACCGATGAAGGTGGCGAATAGCCAGATTGTGATACGGTAACGCCAGGAGCCTGAGGCAGTAGCTAACGATGCTATTGTCAGGCTCGAGTCGGGGTGAATTATTGTGCATAGCATTGAGAATAAAAATAGTCTAATGGCGCCGAAATTTATCCTTTTTTAATGCTCCCTCTTTTTGCTACTTTCCAAACTCAAGATATCAAGATAATAATAAAGAAGAAGAAAAAAAGAATCAAGCCAGACATGATGACTATGTATTTTATAGAACGGAAGAGAATCATCGGTGAGCTTATAAGGATGTGTCTTAGTTAACAGACAGGACCTAGGGCGCTCCCCGAGTTGGTAAAGCTGCTCAACAAAGTGCGAACAATCGCGCGTGTCTCTCAGAAGCTTAACGTAGATGTCGCGTCGATCTCAACGATGTTTCCTACCCCGTTTCTCTTACCCTTCCGTCCACATCATCTACCCACCCTCCTCACCGTCTCTCTCTCTCTCTCTCTCTTTCTCTGACTCACACTCACATCCTTGATGTTTCCGCACGATGTGAATACCGATTGACAGTTAAGTTTTCTCTTTTTCACATTCAGAGGGAAAAATATGCGTGGATATATTGAAAGAATAAAAGTTAAAAAAAAAAAAAAAAATGGCAGACATTTTTTAACCAGCACTTTTCTACCCTCCAGTTAAAACCCGAGATGAATTGAGTCAGGATCTCTCATGCCTCACGATCACGGAGAATCATCTCGCATTCAAATACGTGAAATTCTGCGCGCGGAATTCAAGAGAGAGGATTCCATCTAAGGGGATGCTAGAGATTCCTTGCGGCAAGTCGAATAGTAGTAGAGACTGAGGAAAGGGAATACCGAAAATTGAAGTGAGGAAACCAAGAGTATGTTGAAATTGAAATTAATGTTACATTTTTCTTCATCTAGATAAATGAGATTATGTCTTGAAATGAAAAAGCATTATTTCATTTTCCACGACTAATGAAAATAGACATTTTTGATTGAATAATATTACTTCAATTAATCCAACAGAAATGAAAAAAATAATAATAAATAACCATACAACCTTGATAGCTTTTCGAGAGTTCAAAGTAACGTGTTTTTTGAAAGTAGAATATGTAAAACGCTTCATTTCCATTTCTCACCCCGTGATCACCGCCATTGAGGCATTCAATCATGATGCACGTGCCGATATTGTTTCGGATTAATTAACACGATTGGCACTTTGTATCAATCATTATCACGGACTCTATTAGACGTTAAAAATGAAGACGAGAGATTGGAAAAAAAAATCTAAGTAATGAATAAATGACACACTCATCATTATCATGAATACTTGATCGTTTGACGTATGAGAAAAGGGAGGTCCCCGCGAGTGTAACTGAAAATGATCTTCACACGATCAATTGTATAATTTGGTGTTTAAAAACGTCATCAAATCAATATGTAGTTAAATGCGCGCAAAATCGTGACCTTTATTACTTACGCCCTTGCGAAACAATCCTTGAGGATAAGTAGAAATTTTCCATTTTTTAGGGTTCCACGGTTTGTCACTCTTCGTCATCATCCATTTTCCGCAATACACGCTCGGAGAATCCATCTTCTCGTCTGGTTGGAAGGGTAGATGGCCGCCAGTAGTTCTCTCACCATCTCTTCTCTCCTCTTCGGTACATGTCCCTAGTCCTCTTCATGTTTCGATCGACTTGAAACGAAAACGACTGGTACTTTAAAAAACCGAATAAAACCCAAGCGAGCGACACGCTCCTCTCGGACGAACTGAGCACTCCCCCCTCGCGCCAACTATTTATAATCACCTCCCACCGCTCCATTCTTTCCCCACTTTCAATCCCCACCACTTGATCCACCCTACTCAAGCACCCTCACATGTAGTAGGGATGGATGGATGCTGTGACTCTCTCCATCTTCTTCTCTTCTCTTCTCACACCGACGTTTTATCCACGACGCGCCAACCGTAGATACCTCGCGCGCTCCTCGTGGCTTGGCGCTTTTTTTCTGCTCTTCTTTTTCTTACCGTGCGCTCGCCGGGAACCTCCATTTAATAATTATGCAGTAATTAGAGAGTCTGGAGAGACCGATGCATGAATAATCTTCGTTTCTATAAAAATTAAGAGTCCACAAGTACAAACCTGCTCACCCTATTCATGTTAATCCTTACAAAACTTTACCCCTTAAGTATGTATATATATATTATTTTTTCCCCCGGTCTAAAGAAAATGCACAAGTAGAGAGTGAGCTAAAAAAAGGACAGAATAAAGAAAATAAGGTAGGTGGATTATTATCGAAGATATTTATTTGCATTACCATATTAATAAACGGTTATAATTATTCTAGCGGAGCGTAATATTGTCATCGTCAATCAAGATCTCAAAGTGATTAAACTCTTGAGTCAAGTTCAATTCTATATTTCTCTCCTCTCTTCTCTCGTTCTTCTCGTCAGGTTAACGTGGTTAACCCTAGACACACTATAGTAGAGTTCTCTCTGACATGAAAGTGCAGGGGTAACTTTTCACTTTATACCTATATATGACATCTAAGTTTTCGATGTTAGTTGTGTCTCTCTTCTCTCGACATTTCTCCTCGTCGAAATTCCATCCCGGTGTAAAGTAGTGAGCTCTCCGCTAGAGGACCCGCGAATCCCACCAGGTGTTTCGTTACCGAAATGGTAGGGATGGAGGGATGCTGTCGTCATAGTGACCAACATCAGGGTGGGAGAAGTGCAGTGCAAACGGTGAAGACGGTGGTGGCATCGATCGTTAATGTCGGACTACACGTCGAGCGTTGGTACTGTGAAGTGTGTTATATGGACCTAGAGGCTTGCTATGGATATGATGCTGCTCCACCACTATGTCCCTTCATTGCTATACCACACTAGAAGGGGTAAATGCGTACTACCCTACCTCTTTATCATCCATTCCCTCTCTTATGCCTACTGCCTTTCCCCTTTCACTTCACTCCAAGCATCCCTTTACTCCTTCAACCTCCCCTTTTACTCTTCTTGCCTCTCACACTCACATACATACTCCTATTTCTCTGTGCATTATGGACTACTCTCATCCCTCTTATACTCTCTCTGCTACCAAGGCATGCGTCCAAGTGTGGACTTACGTGCTTATGCACGCTCTTATGCAGGCGCGAATGATTTCCGACACACCACCAACCGATATCAGCCAGTTTCCAGACGTGCCACCGTTGCACCTCTTATGACTTACTAAACATGGACTAAGGCCACAATACCCCCTTATTCTCACTACTCTCATTCTCATTCAAAACTTTTCACTTATTTTTTCTTTTTTTTTTTAATATTAATTTTTATATCCAGTACATACGAGAATTTGTATTACTTTCAGGAGAAAACTGGAATTTATATTACTAGGAAAATCAAATTTTATTGGAAAATGTAGACATTCTGTTAGCTTGAATGGAAATAATGTTTTTTAATAAACGTGATTTAAGGTTCATCAAAAAAGACGATTTATGTCATCAGCAGATTATTTTATTTATTTATTTATTTTTAATTTTATAAATAAAGAAATATTGTGATATTTTTTGACATATAAAATACTACTAATCACTTGTTTTTAATTGTCATAAATCTGATGGAAAGGATTTGTTGTATTTCTATTTTACTTAGATAGAGTATAATTAAAGTTATGTACTACGATATACATGAAATCTGTTTGCAGAATGGACTTTACGAGATTTTGTAAACGTTCCTAAACATAGTTTATGAAATTTCAGTGATTTAACTATCAAATATCTCATGTAATTTTGGATAACAATTCCAGTTTGCATAATACAAAATGATGGAAATGTTTTCTGATTTTATTCCAATAAAATACCACCTACAAATGGTTTAAACATTAACAATAGTACAAATAAAATACGAATAATTCACTTGTGACCTAATTTTATTAAAAAGTTCAATAACCTCAGTTGATTTTTTATTTTTCTAGTTAAATAAAATAATATTAACTAATAAAAAATTAGATTTAAAATTATAAATAACTAATAAAATGTTAAAATGATGAAATTTTTGAGGCATAAATGAAATAACTGTGGTTGGTATACATAAAAAAATGCATTGCGATGCTCTTCAACAAGTAGATAACGATACACACTCGACTATCGTCGACTTTATCGCTTGCCGTGCGAGCTATCGAATATTTTCTTTTCTCCCGCTTTTTTTAGGCCTTGCGCTAATTAAAAAATTCCACCGCGAAATCGGATTCCCCAGCGCTCTTTTTCTCTTTCGGTCGCTGATGTTGCTCACTGCACCACGCACGATATAGCTACATAACTATGTACGCTTGTATGAACAAATCCAATACGTCGTTGCTTCGCTTTTCTCTCTTGCGATCTCTGTTTTACTCTGGTGTAAGCATGAGTGCATACAACACACTGCAACTCACAAGCTAATACATGTACATTTCATTTCTGCACCTTCGTGAGTCCCTTTTGTGTCGATATTATCGTTTATAGAAAATAACAAATTTACACATTTACACTTGTTTTTCTTTCTTCTGTTGCGATATCAATCACAGTGAAATTAATGCAACCTCGAAACCAGTGAATTTAAATCAGTGTAACCCGATTAGTCATTTTTACTTTTATATTTGCCTAGTAGTATATTATTGACATTTCTGTAAAGATTCATCATAATATTTTTATTAATTAGTCTTTTTTTTTGTTTCATATCCATCGTTGTTGAATATGAAGATATGATGTAAATCATAAATATTAATAAAAATAGACTATTTTAATGGTAATATTTTTTTTCATCAATTGTTAGATAAGGTTCATTCATTTGAAGTGATTATTGTTCATCCTAAATAGTAGTAAGTGATATATGATAGGTTCATATATTCAAAATAGAGAATGTAGGACATAATTTACATTAAATATCATTATTAGCGTGTTATGACCGACACTTATCAGAGTATCACTTTGATCGATTAATTCCTAACTCAAACACCTATGAAATTAAATTATCAAGTATTTTTACGTTTCAATAGTTATTATTCAATTAATTTTCAATCGATTTCACTGATAATATTTTATTCATTACATCACAAAGTATTTGATGAAAATTGATAAAACAAAATCTATTACCCTCGTTTACCATTAAATCTATTCTTTAATACTTTTTTATAGGTACTTTAGTCGATAGTTACTTTATAGTAAATTGTAAATTGAATTTCTTTAAAAGAAACATTGACTTTATAGTTATAAACTAAACAAAAAAATTTTTTTTCTAATTAATTTTATATTAAAAATAATCTATCTATGAAAAAGATTGATTAATTTTGATGGAGAAAATAATTTTTATTGAAATGATGATGTCAAGATAACTTGATAAAAAACAAATTAAGTTATTTTTAATGACAAAAAAAATTAAGTTAATTAATAAAGAATATTTTTTAAATAAAAATATAACGTAATTCAAAAATTATCTGTATAGAATAAAACGACTAGGAATGAGTGGAATAAAAATTAATTAAAATAAAAGCATGAAAAAGTAAAGAAGAACAAATGAAATTCAAGCGAGACACCTCATTAAATTTTGATACGATGTTATTCTTACTGGGCACACAAGAGAGAACAGAAACGAGTCAACGGTATTTACACAACGTGTCACGTGTTTTCTCCGTTCATACTTTTGTCTTTTTTTCATTTTCTTTCCCCCTTCTCTTATTCTCTCTTTTTCCTTATTAAACGAAAACCGCGATAATGCAATTTTTTAATTCAAGCCCGCGCAATTACATCGCGGTGTTGCGGTTAATTTTCCTTGCCGACGCGTATGGCGCAAGTCCGTCAAGGAAATTAAGCGTTCCCTCTACTTTAGCGTCCACAGGCGTCCCGTCCCGTGTCAGACTATCACCATGTATATCCCATCTGTCCATTCTACACCTCTACTAATTATTTTACACCCATCCCAAAAATCAATAAACCCATATCCATATATTCTTTTTTATTAAATGTATATCTCTCGTGTCCCACTCTTAACTAGTTATGTTTAATCAATATACATTTAACCGCAACATATCCATGATGTGTACAATATTATTACTATTTCATTTAAACACATTGATAACAGAATCAATTTCATTTTATACTAATTTTAACAATGGCTTTTGTTAGCTCTGGTACATATGTTGAGAAATCGGCCCTGTGATAATATTTTTGTCAATATTGCCGTCAAGTTAATAAGTGAACAAGACATAGAAAAGACTCAGAGAGTGGAAAATTGTTATTTCAAATTAGGTCAAGATGTCAAACGAATCTCTTTAATTTTTTTTATTAAATTGATATTATTATTTACTTTTAATAGAACATGTTTTTGAAAAAAGAAGAATGCAATTTTATTTTGTTATTTAAAGTTTTCAAAGGACTTTTCATTTATTTAAGATTGTTTTTTTTTTCGAAAGAAAGAAATTTTTTGTCGCATTTTTTAAAGTTTATTCTGTCTCAGGAGACACTCTTGTCCCAATTTCCCCAAACTTGATACACTCTTTAAATTCAGAGTAATAAAAATACTACAAATTGGAAAGACTTCATTACTTATGAGCGACTTCATTAATTCCCTCAGTCATAAATAAGCCAAAATAAAAAGTTCATCCTCGTGGAATAATTTATCAATTAAATTTATGAAAATTTTTTCTATCACCTATCATTTATTTTTCGTTAATAAATAAATGCACCATTGTCGAATGAACATAAT